TGAAGCAAGTCCTACCCCATAAGGGTGTCTCCAGCACAGCAGTTCTTCCACTGTAGACACAGCGGGTCCTCGCAGTCAGCCAAAAATGCAGAGACAAAGAAACAGGTCACGAATGACAGAAGTGGAGTAAAGCAAACTACTGGATATAGAGTTCAAAACCACGGTTATAAGGTTTTTCAAGAATTTTCTAGAACCGCCGATAAATTTAGTGAGACCCTAAAGAAATCAAGTGAGACCCTCGAGGATATGAAAAAGAACCAACTAGAAATTAAGCATACACTGCCTGAAATAAAGAATATTATACAGAGATCCAACAGCAGACTAGAGGATCGCAAGAATCAAGTCAAAGATTTGAAATATGAAGAAGCAAAAAACACCAAACCGGAAAACAAAAAGAAAAAAGAATCTAAAAATATGAAGATAGTGTAAGAAAGCTGTCTAATTGCGGTAAAACTCTTAAAATACACAATGGGACCTCCAGGGAAAGGATTAGGAACATGTAAGAAACACTTGAAATTCAAGTAAATAGAAACATAGTATTTCTATGGCTGTGTTCTATCACCCTGATTACAGGTAAAAAGCTGTGAAATGATGAGAATACTGATAATGTTTACAATTCCAGAAAGGGAAGTTTGCGTTTTCAGAAGAAAGTGCTTTCAACATCCGAATTATGGGGGTGCCAGAAGAAGAGAGAAAGATATTGAAAACCTATTTGAAGAAATAATGACAGAAAACTTCCCCTACCTGGCGAAATAGACTTACAAGTCCAGGAAGCGCAGAGAACCCCAAACAGAAGGAGTCCAAAGAGGACACCAAGACACATCATAATTAAAATGCCAAGGGCTAAAGACAAAAAGAGAATCTTAAAAGCAGCAATGGAAAAACAGTCAGTTACTTACAAGGGAGTACCCATACGACTGTCAGCTGATTTCTCAACAGAAACCATGCAGGCCAGAAGGGAGTGGCAAGAAATATTCAAAGTGATGAATAGCAAGAACCTACAACTACGATTACTCTACCCAGCAAAGCTATCATGTAGAATTGAAGGTCAGATAAAGAGCTTCACAGACAAGAAAAAGCTAAAGGAGTTCATCACCATCAAACCAGTATTATATGAAATGCTGAAAGATATCCTTTAAGAAGAGGAAGAGTAAAATGTAAAGATACAAATTATGAACAAATACACATCTATCAACAAGTGAATCTAAAAATCAAGTGAATTAATAATCTTATGAACAGAATAAACTGGTGAATATAATAGAATCAGGGCATAGAAAGGGAGTGGACTATTCTCAGGGGGGTTGGGGGAAAGACTGGTCAAAAATCGTACACCTATGGCTGAGGACAGTTTGGGGCTGGGGTAAGGGTAGAGGGTGGGGTGGGAACCGGGTGGAGGGAAGCTATGAGGGGGGGGGGGAAGAGGAGTGACTGTAATAATCTGAACAAATACCATGTTTATCCCTCAAATAGGCAGCATTAAGACTTGGAAGCCTACTCAACCACAAAGACTTCTTGATGCCAGCATCACTGACCAAATACCAAGTACCATTACACCACATCTAAAGCAAAGCTTGGCCGGCTTAATGATACTTTCCACTCGTAGAAACACCCGTCCCCCACCATGGTGGAGGAGTGTTGTGCCCCTCTGTGGTCGGGGTAACTGATCTTGTCACAAAAGTTTTGTTACTGTGATGCACATTTCTTAGTGATTCACTGTCTGCCTGCAGTGCCCAACAGCACAAATCAAGCAACACATAAGGCTTCAGGGATAAACTCAGCACCTTGAAGTGGGAAGTAATCTCAGGATACATTTTAGTTTTAGTAAATGTATTATTGCCTTTGGAAAAACCTTGAAGTTTACAAATAAATTCAAAGATCGGATACTCAAATGCTCAATATTAAACTACGGGGGAAAAATACCTGTTGTTCTAAGACTGTTAGAACACAAGGGAACAGTATACTCTTCATTCTAGACAGCCAAGTAGCCAGACCTCTCATCCTAGTCAGTTGAAGTATCAGTCTTACTATCATCAATTTAAAACTCTGTATTAGCTATACCATCTAATAAAGTGGGGAAACGTGAAATTAAATATGACCTAAAATTCAAATGCATTTCCATGTAGAAACATGTTAGTACCCCCCCCCCTTTTTTTTTTTTACTTCAGAGATCACCTTCGGTGCAGTATGTATAAAGAAATGAGAATCCAAAATTGAGAGCAATCTACCCACTTAGGGGGATTTGAAACATCTTACCATGTAGTTGTCTGAAAGTGAGATTTCTAAAATGATTCTAAACAAATGTTATAGCGACAACTTAATGCCAAGAGAAATTTGACATATAGTAAATATAAATTGTCAGATATTGAGTTGCTCAGCAACGAATAATTGTCCATTCAACTCAGATGCATCCTCTTTGCAAAAATAGTACCACTTAAGCAGCAGAGCTATAAAGTAATGAATACATTAACCTCCCTCCCTGTAGACCAGGAAGTGCGAATGGATCCTGAACTACGAGGACAGCAGGATGGGGGAGCAGGGGAGGGCTTTGTGAATTACTATAGCAAATAAAATATTCCACACATAGACTTCTAATGTATGTTTTATTGCATTATGAAAATACATTTGGCAAAGTAATCTAGACTCCAAGTTGAAATAAAAACTCCCAAAAGTGCACTGATTTTTTAAAATGTGAAATATTAGATGTATTCTAACATCCTCGCATTCATATTAGGCCGATAATCCAGTAAACCTAATAACTGCATATAAAATGACAAGGTGATTTTGCGTTCATCCATTTTAATAGCACAAATCTTGAGAGAACTGAACGTCATTTGACCAAAACCAATGCATTGAAGAAATTCCTGTTCAGAAGACAATTTGAAACGCTACCCCACTTTTTATTTCCTTTGCTTCTACAAGTTGCATTTTCATCCGTACCACAAGATACATTTCTCATAATCACACATTGTAGCGGTTTTAGATGCTGCCCAACTATCTTTACAGGTAAACTAGTATATTATTTAAAAAATTGCTGACTTTGCCCTGGCCGATTCCTCAGTGGCAGAGCCTCAGCCCATAGATGGAAGTGTCGCAGGTGGATCCGGCCAAGGCATGGACCGCGATTGGAGGCTCAATCCTCTACCCTGCTGGGGGCACGTGCAAGAGGCACCAAATCAATGTCTCTCTCACGTTGATTTTACTCTCTCCCCCTCCCACTCGCTCTAAAAAATGTTAAAAAATATCCTGTGAGGATTAACAACGAAGTTGACTTTACAAATGTAAAAATGCATAAATACATGCCTATCTACACCAGCAAAGCGAAATACTCTTGAGCCTCAATGTTTTCACAGGTCACACCTTCTGGCCATGATTTCATGGATGACTTTCCATGCTAAAGCATTATGGCCTACTACCACTGCTCACAGCACACTGTTGACAGATATAGTTAATAAATCCTAACTGGATTAAATTTATCTAATAATTAACACTTTCCCACTAATTTCTCCCCTGCTATTTAGAACTGAAAAGCTACATTTAAAAAAATGTAGTAGGATAATGTTTTATTTTAAAGGGAAAAGTGCTACATATGTATTACCTGTATATTTTCACTTTTTTGACCAGCAAGAATTTCAAATTCTTTTTGCATGCTGGCCAAAAAGGAAATTTTATTCATTGAAATTAAAATTAATCATTACAATCCTTTAGATCTTTTCATCTGACTTTGCTGGTGGTATGTTAAGAAAATGTGCCTAAAATTAGTCTTTAAAAAAAGTCACACCTGACCCTGGCCGGGTTTCTCAGCGGTTAGAGCATCAGCACATGGACTGGAGGGTGACAGGTTCAATTCCTGGCCCTGGCCGGGGTGCATGGGGGAGGCAACCAATCCATGTCTCTCTCTCATATCTATGTTTCTTTCTCTCTCTCTCCTTTTCCCCTTCTCTAAAAATTAAAAAATCAATGGAAAAATATCAGTTGAGGATTTAAAAAAAATTCACATCTAAATCAGTTATGAGTATAACTGACATTTTCATGAAGCAAAGTCTAAGTGCACCTATGCACACCTGTGGAAATTTACTTCCGAATGGGCATCAGTATCTTAAATCAGCGGAACAAGGTTCCTCAGTTTAACTACAGAGGTAGTCCTTCTATCCTAAAGATATTCATGAGCATTCTACAATTTTCTGTATAAAAAGCAACGTGATCTATGATCAACATATGAAACAAATATGAAATTAAGCTATAGATCAAAATGCAGATCTCTCATAGAGTTAAGTGACATTTTGGTACATTCACCATTGTTGTACTTTATTTAATAAAGATATACATTTGCCCTTGCAAAAATAACAATCGCAAGTTTACAAATAAACCACAGACCTCAAAGTCATGATTGCTAAAACTTCAACCTAAAGCAACAAAGTAAATCTATTTGTTTACAAATGGTCCATGGCACAATTAAAATAAAAATATCAAAGGGTCACAGGGTCCTAAAGAACAGGTTCATTGACAATAATTTCATAAATATGCTAAAGAAAATTTCAAGATTTCTTAACATGTTTACAATCTGTTCTCCTTGGCAAAATACCCCTCAACAAAATAAGGTTAATAGGTCACTAAAAAAAAATATTGCATTTAAAATTTCCTTCATTTTGACATTTTTGCAACATTAAAAAGTGTGTGATTTTTCTCCAGTACAGTAAATCAGTACTGTTCTTATTTTGACTACCACATATTCATAGATATATCTAGCTGCTGTGAACCGAAGTCAAGCCAGTCAGTAGTATGTTACCCTACAAACATAAATGAAGCCAAATCGTCCTGGTATTTTTAGTCATAGCAATTTAAGTAGTCAAAATGCAAAATTGTAGTTGCCATCCAAATCACCCAAAACCATTATGATACAGTGTCAGAAATTGTTTGCATCAGTTTTATAAGTTCATCTGTTTACTTCAGGTATCTGAAACTAAAAGAGATTTTATTTTTGATAAAAATGTACTCAAATATTTCATAACATTAGTATTTATTGCTTTATATGAATACTGTATTGAAAGCCCAAGCATTCAGTTTACACACAGAAATTTACAGTTATATACCGCGTCACAAAGGCAGTGAACACATTACATCCTACAAAATCTACTTTACAGAAATTTAAAAATTCTAAATATCAAAAGGTACAGCCAAAGAAACAGGTATAAATTTGGCAGCCAGTAATTTGACAGGAAAATTGCATCTTACATGACATTAGATATGTGAATTTGAAAATATTGAGTTTACAGTAATTATTGTGCTTTCTGTTGATCTGAAAAATATAACACTGGCTGTTGAAGAAGCATGTTCAAAAATATTTAATTCACTTCAAAATGTCATACAAATTATGGTGATTTCTATGCACCCCTAAAGCTTTAGTCATTTAGCTCCAGTACATTACTAAAGTAATATATTAATTCTTCCAGTACAGTGGTGTTTCATATCATTGACATATTATACTCTAGAATAATTTAGAAAGAAATGTGTAATATTCACAATGTTCAGAAAAGCAAGCAAAAAGTTAAGGAAACTGCTCAGTTCTGAGACGTTCTCATGTCAGCTTTATAAGCATTCATTCTACAAAATAGTAAGCTCATGTTTGAACACAATTTCCAAGATAAAGGACATTTTCTCATAAATAATGAAGTCGTTTCAGGCACCTCAGAGGTATACAAAAGAATTTGTTTGAACAGATCTCTTGGAATGTGTTTAACCTGGTATTTCAACAGACTCTAGATTTCCAGGGTTTCACAAGGGCCAAATTTTATTTGAGTTACTTAGAAGAGAAAGAAACTGTCTTCTGAAAGAGTGAACTTAGTCATGACCAATAGAAAAAGTATCCACTGTATTTATTCATCTCTTATAGAAACAGAAAAATATAACATTTCCCCCTTAGAATAATATATATGTGTATATATATGTATATATATATATATGTATGCATATATGACTTAAAGTTCCATTGTACAGTCAAACAATAAAATCTGGAAATCAGCATGAAACCCTAAAATTCACGTTAAAATGTTGAAACTATGACCAAAATATGAAAACTGCTAGAGCTGTCAGAAAAAGACAAGACAAAAAGCTTTTTTGTGTATGTATAAACTAAATAATCTCCAAAAGGTTTTCAAAATTATAATTACTTTCCAGTTAAAAAACTTTAATTCTAAAAAAAAAAATCTATACACACAAACCACTGATTTGACCAAACCAAAACAGTCAGCGGTAAGCAGGACCTATGGAACCAATATTCATAGTTCTTACATGTACAACTCTTTCAGGATTTATCCCACAAAATACTTTATATTACAACCTGCTTCTCTTGTAAAACTAAAGGTCCACTTTATTACATAAAAGTTTTATACAGTGTAAAACCAGAACTGTATGTAAAATACTGTCTCTAATTAGTCTTGTTCCATTGGTTCCTCTGTGACCTCTGTGGCTGCATCATCGTTTTCCATGGATGATTCTGAGAGAACCTCTCCAGTCTCATTAGAGCTGGGTTCTGCCAATTCCTCTGTTTCATGGCAATCAGAGCCACCACTGCCTGGGCCTGTGTTCTCACTATCTTCAGAATGGAAATCTTTCCCGGCTTGAGTCAGACCAGATTCCTCCATTTGATTATTTTCCTCAGAAGTCTCCTCATTCACAGTTAAGGCATCAGATTCTTTTTCTTGATTTTTTCTTTCAGGGATCATTTCTCTTGATGTCATAAAAGACTCTAAAAATAAGCAAATGTTGTAGTTAAATTTTATTTTCAAAATACCTCCAATTTCATGAATTGTGATATTCTACAGTTCAAAATCATATTCCCTGAAATTGAGCAGCAACTATATAAATGTGGGAGAAAAGCCCAACATCAGCATTATGTTACGTTCTTTATTTGAGGATCTCCTTACTCCACCCTTTTACAGATGGTTTCTAAATACCTTCTTCTTCCTCCTCTTCCTCCTCCTCATCCTCCTCTTCTGTACAGTGTTGCCTGGAACAAGCACTTTCTTTGTCTTTATCCTGAGATGAAGATGATGCATCTGTTTCTTCTACCAGAACGGAAGAAATTTCACTGGAAGATGTCTGACTGGCTGTCTCCCTGACTTCACTTTCTCTGTCAAACCGAAGTCTTTTTACCTCATGCCCCTCAGCGTCCACAGCATCTTCAACTGGATGTTTATTTTTCATTGGGCTCACTGAGGAGCTTTCTGATCCAGGCGTTGGAGAATGACTGTAAATGGTTTTTTTAAGTGTCATTAATAAAATTATTTTCTTCATCCTCTACATTCTCATTTTAAAAATCTAATTATTTTTTTAAATTGTATTTCACTGTCAAAGTTAAATTATACCACCTGGGCCAAGAGAGCACGAGAAAATTTTCAAGGGAACCTAAACTGTTTAATGAATATTTACCATTTGGAACTAGTCAACAAGTTATATGACCTTTTTGGTTCAATTCTCCAGTAAGTTAAATGCTCTCCTATAATAAAACTACAAGTCTTCCATATGGGCATGCTCTTTAAATCCTCTCACTCATTCAGTCTTCTTTCCCTTAAATGATGCAGAAAATTTGATGAGATATAAATGTTTCATTTTATGATCTATATAATATTATTCACAAAATTTCAACTCATTTACAAATATATTTTCTAGTAACTTTCAAAAAAAATTAAAATACATCATGACCACCTTATTTTCGTAAGACCCCATTATAAGGAGGACCTCCCCAATTTAGCAGTTTTAGTCTTTTCTATGCCCATCTTCAGTATGTGCTAAAGCTCCTATCACATTAAAACCTGTCCTATACCTCAAAACCTTAGTAAATTATAGATAGTAAACAATGAGTGCTGAAAATCACCAATGTTAATATTTTATAAACAGTTTTTGTTTTTAAATATAAATCTCAAACACACCTGTGACTTTTGTCCTCAGTTTGCTGTAAGTTTGAATCTTTGTCATCTGTGCTCTCAGGCAAGCCATTGGTTGTCATGGGGACTGACATAGAAACCTTTGGTCGATTAAGTGGCCTAGGTGTTCCTGGCCCATTGATATTAGCCCTGTGGTAAGACAAGTGAACATCATTTTCCCATTTGCTAAAAGTCATCCCTTTCAAGGTCATTCTGACTTTCAGATCCACATTAACTAATTCTGTTTAGTATATTTTATTATCCTCTTAATCCTAATTTTAGAAAAAGAATATTGAGCCTGCTATTCAAAACTAAAATATGTAAACTCTTTCTTTGGATAAAAATCAAGAGTCTTACCTTTCAGTATAAGTTGGTGAATTTCCAGGAAACATAACACCATTCATTCGATTTAAACTATTAGAATTGTTTTTCCTATGAGACAAAACAAACACTGTTATGGATGGGTTCATGTATTAGTTTTGACAGGAATCAAGAATTTTCATCTTTTGTAAGATATCACTGTTGCAAAACCAAACAATAAGACCTCTGTGAGAAATAACAATCATGGGATTATCTTAATAACATGTATATTCTTGAAAAAATTCTGTAAAGAAATTCAGTTTTTGTCTATTAAATCAGAGATTTTTTTAACCTTAACACATTAAATGCCCAGTGACTGACACTATACTTTCTTTCCGGAAGACACAACAGGCTGGCACTTAACGTGTTAAACCAACTTTTCTCAATGGGAGGCAACGTCCTCCTCCTCACAACCCCTCTACCCCACACTGCATCCCAGAAGACATTGGACAGTGTCTGAAGACTTTTTTGGGGGAAAAGGGGATACTAGTGACAGCCAGGGAGTAGAGGCCAGGGGCACTGCTAAACTTCCTGTAATTTCCAAGATATCCACTCATTAACAAAACATTAATAGTGCCAAGGACTGTACCCTTAACCGATATCTTAATTTGCTATATAAATCTGGAGAACTGGAAACAGTTTTCCATCATGAAGAGGAATGTAATCAAGTAGCCAAATTTCTAAAGATGGCCTGAAAAGGTATCTAGGATAAGATCCCAGGGCCCTGAGTGCCATGAGAATACATAAATCCAACAATGTGAAGATTATGGTAAATCACAAATCTCCTTAATCCAAACCCCTTTATTGCAAAAACACACAGGTAATATTATTGGTAATATTCAATTTTGGAAACTGGGTGATAGATTCACAGGTATTTATAAATGTAATTATGTTTCATTACATATAAAATAAATGTAATTTTTTAAGACTAACATATTAGAAATAGAAAAGTCTCTCTACTTACTCTGAAGAAGGATATACACAGCTAACCACCATCACATTCTGCAAGCAAAAATTGGTGATTTAACATGAGGAAAAGTACTACAGTGTAAGTTTAATCATTTGTTTTTAATTTCTCAAATTCATCCTGGTAGGTTAAGTTTCTATTTATTCTGATTTTACTAACAAAAATTTTAAAATAAAACTTCACAAACAAAAGACCAAAATCTAATATCGTACTAATGCATTTATTTTTTTTTACTCTACTTTAGTTACTTTGGAGCCCTAACATTATATATTTCATGTAATAAAGTAGAACCACCCTCTCCTTATTGTAGTTAGAATCACCCCCAAGATACTTAGACATTGAAGTTTTAGGCCAAGTATAAATGAATTTCCTTATAAGCAGTACCAATCAAAGCCTGATGTGTAGTATCATATACCACAAGAGATTAAAAACATTAATCTGGTAAGGCCTTATGATCTACTGTAAATGACTAAGTAACAGTTTTGGATTCCAGCTCCCAGGGTAAATAAACTGAATTTGAATTATAATCTTAAAATGAACACTGGACTAGGATCAATCACCAAGTGAGGGGATTAGCCACCCACGGGTCCCATCTTGGTTTCCAGGGCTCCTTCACCTTCTTTACCTAAGTCAACTTCCTCAAACACCTTGCTGTCTTTGCTTATCATGCTCTTCCCTCAGTCCGAAATGCCCTTTCCTTATTACTAATGTCACCTCACTCACAGAAAACCTAATGTTTTCTTCATTCTTCAAGCTGACCTTTACCTTTCTCAACATCTAATTTAATGCTTTGTATCAGTGATTTTCCAGAGTTGTGTACATCTCAATTCCAGAACTGAAATAAATGAATTCCATGGATTAACACATTTGCAAAACACTCTATTAAAGTTAAAATATCAATTATAGAACTTCATAGAACATTTAATATATTGATGTATACTATGAATATCCAGGAGAGAATCCTAAGTTGCTTTCCTAAACTTAATTGATCATAAGCTCTCCTCTGCCCCTCTATTAAATCCCTCCGAAACTCTGACCACAATTCAGACAACAATTTGGGAAAAACTTCAAGTAGGTTGAGAAACTTATTTCAAGAAAAGGTGACTACAACAACTCTTAATGCGTTTTTTTAAATCTATTATGTTACAGTATAATATAATTTCAATTAACAAAATATATACCTTCTCTACTCCTCTGAGAAATTTGTCTGTTCCTGTATAATTTCTCCTTGGATCTGTTAGCAATTCACATAGCCGCTGAATAGTAAAAGGGATACTGTAAAAGAATATAATTTTATAGTTTGAGGTCCATTAATTATTAAGAAAATTAGAAACATTATCAGCCTCACTTTTTAAAGCTTTTATCCATGTGTTAAGCTACAAAAGAAAATGCTACAATAGGGGAATGAATGAGTCATTTAAAAACAGGCAAGACAATAGGCACACCTATCATTTTATTTACAAAGAAAACAATTTTCCCTTCCTTGCCTTAAAAAGCAATACAGAATATCCAAAATTAACAGAAAATTTAAAAACTGGAAAAAAAAATTTGTTTCAACTCAAAACTTTTTCCTCAATCATTCTTTTGCACACAAAGATTTCTTTAAAGTCTTCAAATAAACTATGTTTTGTTATCTGATAGAATAAGACAAATAACTCCAATGGAAAAGTACTAGAGGTATGGTTCTGCTTTATAATTATAACTAGAGGCCCGTTGCATGAATTCATGCACAGGTGGGGTCCCTTGGCCTAGCAGGCAATCGGGGCTGGCTGGCTAGGGGGAGGGACTGCGGGAGGTTGGCGGGCCACGGGAGGTAGGTTGTGGGAGTGCACCTGACCACCAGGGGGCAGCTCCTGTGTTAAGCATCTGTCCCCTGGCGGTCAGTGTGCATTCTAGCTACTGGCCGGCTGTCTGGTCTTAACAGTCGCTTAGGCTTTGATATATATAGGTACATCTTAAGTGTACTACATGATAGCAATATACCTGAACCTTAGCCCCTCTTCTAGATCACTACTCTCCAAACCTTAAACACACCACCACAACCTGTTACTTCCTCAGTAAATATCTCATAGTGACATTGTAATTAAAAGTTTATATATTAACCAAAAAATAAACAAAAAAGCACCCTGTGTTAAGAATTTTAAAATCCTTGCCCTGCCCGGTTTGGCTCAGTGGATAGAGCATCGGCCTGTGGTCTAAAGGGTCCCAGGTTCGATTCCGGTCAAGGGCATGTATCTTGGTTGTGGGCACATCCCCAGTGGGGGGTATGCAGGAGGCAGCTGATCGATGTCTCTCTCATCGATGTTTCTAATTCTCTATCCCTCTCCCTTCCTCTCTGTAAAAAATCAATAAAAGAACATGCTTTTAAAAAAAAATATTTTTTGAATCCTTAACTGGCAAATACACAGATTTACTTTCCATCAAGTAAATTTCTTTCACACATCAAAAGCTAATACTTTCTCTTAAATTAAAATGAGCTTTAAAAAAATGAGTATATTTAAGCTTCCCATTTAACACATTTACACTAAATGTTTGGCTAATTTTCTCTAGGAAGGTTAAGTAAAACTGCAGCCAATTATGAACTATTTATGTTTGGGTGATTATCATCATCGCTTTCAGGAGGAAGATGTATTATGTTGCATAGCAATGTCGGCAAAATTCATTTTCATTCACAGGCACTTTCAGAAGCCTTTAAAGTCATTTTGTCAAATGCCCAAGAGATGGCACTAAATGTCAAACACTTCCCTTCCTCACTTGCACAGGATTATATATTATTTACTTGTAAATAACAGAATCCATTGGAAATTTTAACATTTTAATTTTGAACACTGCACTAAAAGGTGTCTTTACATACAGTTAATATTTTCAGAGAACCAAGATGGCGGCATAAGGTATAGACCTGTGCCTGCTGCCTCCCACAACAACACTGAAACTACCAACTATAAGACAAAACAGCTACTATCCAGAACCATAGGAAAGCTGGCCCTGTGGAAGTTCTACAACTGGAAGGAAAGAAAGAAGTGCACTGAGACTGAGTAGGAAGTGCAGAGGCGCCAAGAACAGAGGTACGGGGGCGCACACCAGGCGGGCTGCAACTGGATGCACAGTTTTTTTCAATCGGAAGGGGTTACAGACTCTCGAATCCACTGAGCTTGTTTGGGGCGGGACTCTGGGGTCCCAGACCCCTACGGAGAGAGGCGGTATGGCCTTGCAGTGGGTCAGAGAGCGAGGGAGGCTTGCTCGCTGGCACTCGGGGATGCGGAGACGCGGAGGGAGTCGCAGAGAGGCGAGGAGTCGCGGAGATGCCATTGCCCTTTGCTCCACCCTGGTGACTCCCGGGGACCCCACCCTACTCAATTTACATCCTCACCCAAGCTGTGCCAGTGGCACAAAAGGAACCACCAGCGCTTTTGCAGCTTAACCCAACAAACTGCAGATTAGCCACCCAACAAAAGACAGAATGCCAAACTGCGTGTTGACCAGTTAAAGTATGCTGTCCAGCACCTGCACACTGCTCTCAGAAACTTACAGCATCGGCGATACGCAAGGGAGCAGCAGGAGAGACAGCGAGAGGAGCTTCTGTCTCGCACCTTTACCACCAACGTGGGATGCGGCACCCCCTGCGAGGCTGCAATGCCCCCTGCAAGACTGCAACGCCCCCTGCGAGGCTGTGCAAGGCTAAGACGGCCCTTGTGAGGCTCTGTGGGCCCCTGGGAAGCCGGTGGAACCGCGTGAGCTGCCCAGACACTTCGTCGACGGCCCGCGAACCAGCGCGCAGCCCACGTAAAACTATCACCTGAAGGGCGAGAGGGGTGAGAGGGGCGAGAGCAGCTGTAGTGTTGCTTTCTCCTCACTTTTGGTAGCGAAGTCCTCATTTTAAACATAAGAGGACACATTATTTTAAAAAGCCGTTACGTGGCTCCGTACCCCTTCTGAGTGGAGTGTGAACAAGTCCTGAGAGACCTTTCCGAGCACAGGGACACACCGCGGATGGAAATAGCTACATTTTCCATGTGTATGACCTTTGACCTGTCAACACAAAGCGTACACCTATGGATGAGGACAGTGGGAGGGGGAGGGGTAAGGGCAGAGGGTGGGGTGGGAAATGGGTGGAGGGGTGCTATGGGGGGAAAAAGGGGGAACAACTGTAATAATCTGAAAAACAAAGATTAAAAAAATATATTTTCAAATAAATAGGAGGGCCTATTATACGCTAGAAAAACTTACTGGCCAAGCAGATAGACATGTAAATAGTTACAATAATAAAACGTAATAATATTAAGTACACACAGTGCAATGAGGATAGAAAAAAATGCATGCCAGGGAAGTAAGCATGAACGTGGGAATATTTAATTTGAGGTAGGTCTTTGAAAGGAGCATAAGAATAAACCAGATAAATCAAAATGAATGCTTGGTACAACTATAAGAAAGATTTGGTTTCTGTTACTCTCCCATTACACATAGCACACAAAATAGCTTATATTTTATCTCCTGCAAATATTAAGGCTTTGCCCCAATAAAATTCACTAAATTAAGATACATGTGCCAAAAAAAAGGGAACGAAAAAGGACGTAACTCACTTTCAATGAAAAACATGAACCAGAATCCCTAAATTTGGGTAATGGGGGAAAGATGTTCATTAGAAAAGGCATACTATAAAATAACTTAGCAGAAAAATATTTTGGGTTATTTCAAAAATAATACATTGTTTACTCTGTAATATATTACCTTTATTTTGCCCACACTGTAACATGGAATTTTTTATAGTATTTAAGGAACTGAAAAAAACACATACGTTTAAAAAGGCCATGACTAGCCAGCATTTTTAAAATAAGAATGCCTACAAAGCCTAACACACACTGGCTAGGTGACTGGGGGACCTTGCCCAAGATGAATTTACTTGTCTTAAATCATGATGTTCTTATATTAGGAAAACAGGGATTCTGAAAGCACACTTCTTACATGATATACATAAATCACTTAATAGTACCTGAAATATTTTATGAAGCGTTCAATAAATCTTAGTTCCTATTATCATCCTGGTCCCACCTACTATTTAACGGAGAATGCAGGAAGACACAAATGCTCCAAAAACCAACTATAGAGGCACAAAACCAAAGATATCTCTGTTTTAAAAAATATTCCTTTTAATTCCAAGGAAATAAGATTACACATTTTACATTAGTTATATATCTTAGTATGACTGCAGTCTGTCCCTGTTTACTGAAAAACTATAAATGGAAGATTATAAGAGAGGGTTTCGTGTGCCAGCAAAAGTTACTGGCGTGCCATGTTTGCCACGCGTGCCAGGGGTTGCCCACTCCTGTCCTAGGCCAATGGAAACCAAGGAGAAAATAAACAAATGGGCTGACATCAAAATAAAAAGCTTCTGCACAACAAAAGAAACCATCAACAAAAAAACAAGAAAGCCCACTGCATGGGAGAAGATATTTGCCAATGTTTTCTCCAAAAAGGGTTTAATTTCCAACATTTACAGGGAACTCATACAACTTAAAAGGAAGGTAACCCAATAAAAAAATGGGCAACAGACCTAAACAGATACATTTCAAAAGAGGACATAAGGAAGGCCAAGAGACATATGAAAACATGCTCAAAGTCACTAATCCTCCGATCCCTGGCTGGTTTGGCTCAGTGAAGAGAGCCTCAGTATGTCAACTGAAGGGTCCCTGGTTCAATCAATTCCAGTCAAAGGCACATGCCCAGGTTGTGGGTTCGATGTCCAGTGGGGGGCATGCGGGAGACAGCCGATCAATGATTCTCTCTCCTCATTGATGTTTCTCTCTCTCCCTCTCCCTTCCTCTTTGAAATAAAAAAATATATTAAAAAAAAAAAGAGAGATGCAAATCAAAACAACGATGCAGTACCATCTCAAACCTGTCAGAATGGCTATCATCAACAAATCAACAAATGACAAGTGCTGGAGAGGATGTGGAGAAAAAGGAACCCTCATGCACTGCTGGTGGGAATGCAGAC